TTATTTAGTTAATGATAATTAATCACGATGACTATTTATTATTATTGTATTATTTTCAGTACAGTAGGCAGTGAGTCACCAAATATCAACTTGCAAGAAAGTAATAATGAAAGAGAATTCTGCAATTGATAATTTGTTGATGGGATTTCTAAACTAAGAGGCATTTAGTTGGCAATGGAGGACAATGAAATGCTAATCAAGAAATGGTTAGATCCAACAGAATCACCAGAAACTTCTTTAGAACATAAAATCTAGAGTCTGCAGTATAAAGTTAAACTTTTACACACATTTAGTAAGGCAACCTCCTAACCAACCTCACATATATTAGCCCTTTGTGGTAATCCAGGAAAGAAGAATAATTATGAATATTAATGTTACCTTTATTAGGTACAGGATTATATTAACAGAATATTGAAAGTCTGAAAATACGTCTCTCCTCATCTCCTTTTACTCTCCAGAAAACTAGAGAAGACCCCTTCTGAAACTCTTCTCACACACAACCCTCCTTCTGTGGACCAAGATATATTTTACATGATGTTTGTCTAGTCTGCAGCACTTCCTTCTGTCTCCCAAGGTCATTCTTATATACCATTACACATATGATACCAGATTCCTAAATAGTTTTTTCTAAAAGAGCATCAATAGTGTAGTCTGTGTGCATACACACTCATACATGCAATTCCTATCAGCACAATTTATGCTATGAAAATCTTCACTAATGGCATCTTTTACCAGCATATAAAACACTAAATTTCTTCAATCAATGGGTGTTAGTGAATAATTTTAGCTTCATGGTTCCTGTCTCTTATGGCTATCCCACTTTTAAAAACAAGAGCCGCATATATACCATGAAATAGTAAGAAAGAGGTCTTTCAATCTCTTTCAATCAATTTCTTGCCCAATATTATTTGAGCATCTCCATATCAGTAAACACTCCAAAGGAAGTTGACAAGCAAAGTCCAAATGTCCCTGTGTATCAAAGACATGACAGCCATTCATTTTAGGGGCTGACTCTAAAGTTGAATGCATCTATTGATATCACAATGTGCTACAGTTCCAAGGCTACTGGTTTAAGAAATAGAGCACCATCTATCAGAAAGAAATACAGGCAAGCATTGTGAACATTTGCAGGAAGGCTGGCAAATGAGTCCTACCTTCCTTCAAAAGTTTCCAGGTAAATTTACCTTCATTTGATCTAGAGAGTTAATTACAGAGAATGCCTATTACAAGAAGAAAAATGCATATACATTCTTTTCCCCACAGCTGCTTGGATTTACATATAATAAACATTTCCCCAATAAATACCAAAATAGGGAGAAAGCTGCTGTGGGTGGCATAATTTTTAATCACTGCTTAAAGTTTTTCTCTCTTTGTTCTGTCATGGTCTTGTATGCCAATAGTTGTTTACAGAAGGCTGCATTCAGCTCTTTAACAGTTGAAACTGCAAGCACCATGAAAAGAATGTACCCTTGCCAAGCCTGCTGAAAGTGTGATGATCTACAATTCTCCTTCAACACAATTAGAGTGATTAAGGCAAATACTCAAACTATCTACTGCTCAGATTATGGGCTCTTGAGTGATTCCCAAGACACAGCTGAGAATGAAAATGGTCAAATGACACAGAAGCGCCACTTGATGAAACCTAAAGACACAATTGCTCCACTAGCTTAGACTCTGATTGTGAAGGAGAACCCTGGATGAAATGTCGGTGATAGTCATTCATTCATTCATTCAATATATGGAATCAATCAAAGGAACACTGAGAATCTGGGTTCACTAAGCCTATCCATGGGACCAACTTATTTTTGAAGGGTATATTCGTGGAATGATACAACCTAAATTCTCTGAATGTTAGGGCTCAGCAGAAATTAGGTGGAAATTTTGGTGGTTTAACACCACACATACTGTTCCAGGGGAGTGAGGAAAGCCACAATAGTTGATGCACTGATGCATAATGGACAAGGACATTCACTGTGATTCATTGTGAGAGAATGGTCTTATCTTTATCTTTAATACTTTTTTTAGATCTTACATTAGAGTTATCATGCCTTTTTACTCCATATGCATCTAGTTCATCATCCCTATGCCTACCAATAACAAGAAAGAATACTTTCACATACAAAAAAAAGTGAAAAGCTGGCACTTTACAATGTTATTTATATCCATCCACCACTTTCAACAGCAAAGGAAAAAAAAAGAATTGTGCAGTTGCACTGAGGAAGCTGATAAATTAAAGTTCAGCAATAGTTTCTCAAATCAACAGATACAGCACAGTATTATTTTTATTCAATGGCTAGGTAATAAATGACTATAGTACATATTATGCTGGTTTGTTTTTTTTAAGTAAGCACTGTTTCTAAATGTTTAATTTGCAGTTTCTATGAATAGTTCATACTTGTTCCATTTCACTATACCCAGAATGGAAGAAGGTTACTTTAACAGTTGGAAACAAATGGCCTTGGTAGTACTAGAGTCTAATTAAGCACAACTATGGCCTCTTCCTGTGGATCTTCTGTAGGAGCAAATACACAAAGACTTAAAAACAAATTCATAGTACTATAGTTGTGAGAGATAGCATTTTTGCTCAAACACAAATATAAGTTATACAATATTTTCTTGAACTGAAAATATTCACTCATGCATATAATAATATGACTAATACTACTTAATTCATAAACTGGCCTCTGCCAGTTTACAGTGGACTGTAAATCTCAGAATTTTCCACCAGATTTCAGTCTTGCAGGCAAGGAAATTCTGGGAGCTGTAGTCCCAACTTATCTGAGAGTGCCTAATTAGGGAAAACTAATTTAAGGCAAGGATTCTTCAATTGTAAATTATGAAAACTGATTCCTGCCTCCTGTGAATAAGACAATTTTATTAAACAAAATATAAATATATCACTAACTTTAAATAAATCTAGATACCTGTTTGGGATGCAAACTTTGATCATATTTCTTTAAAAAAATGTAAAACCTTGAGGTAGTTATGATCCCTGGGGGATTGTGACGTCCTGTATGAGAATTGTTATTCTAAAATATTAAGATTGGAAACTGATGCTAGACTTAATGGGCTGGTTCAGGATAGTAGCTCTTCAATTCTTACATTACAGCAGTGTTTCTCAACCTTGACAATTTTAAGGCATGTGGACTTCAACTCCCAAAATTCCACAGCCAGCATGCTGGCTGTGGAATTCTGGGAGTTGAAGTCCACATGCCTTAAAATTGTCAAGGTTGAGAAACACTGCATTACAGTGAGTTGCCAAATGCTATTTTCGATTTTAAAGATATCCTAGCTCTTAACCCCAGATATTTGCAAGACTCAAACAGATTCAGTTACTAGCATGTTTGCTCCTAGCTGCTAACCTCCCATCAAAACAATTTCCTGTGTACTTTCATAAAACTCAACAGATAAGTAGACTAACCCATTTCTTCACTCAATTCACTTTTGCTAAAACTTCTCACAAAATGATGTGTTTGGTTGACATATTTATCCATGATCAACTCCATTAACCCAGTTTTCTGGATTGGCACAACATATCAAATTATGAACAAACTACATGGGCAAAATTTGTGTAGCATTTCTGCTCAATTAAAACACGGCTATATACTCTAATCGGTAACTCAGTGAGCTTAGTGAACCACAACACCCTCTAAAGCACAAATACAGAACACAAAATGGTTCCTTATTATTAGATTGTTATCCATTCCCACAATCTACCTGAACCAATTTAAGGATCTTCTCTCTCATGAAGTTCACACATTACACTATCCCCAACACTCAATTCTTAGCATGCACACACATGCACATACACATTCAGATAAAGTAAAGTAACACTACCAGTGGTCATTTCATTAGGAAATTGCATCATCTTTAATATATGAATATTGTCTTATACATATATGCATGTACTGGGGCAAAAATGTTTAAAGGAAGCTAACAATCCATTTCCCTTCCAGATACTAAAAAGCAGCCAAACAACATTATTCCCTCATGCCTATGAGAGGAAGAAGGACCACCTGGCTGCAGAATTCTTATATTAACCATTTTTTCTCCTTCATGCAATCAATAGCACTCAAGATGTCCCAAATTTAATTTGAAACTCATTTGACTGAGTAAAACAGGGAATTGGTTTAAAAGCATTCCTTAAATATATCTATTGTAAATCATAACATAGGCGCCCAAATTATAGTTCTTCCCTGTCCCACAGGATTGGACTTGATTCCACAGATTTAAAGCACAAGATGGCAAATTGAGAAACAACAGTATGATACAGGAACCAATGTCTGCAAGGAATTGTGGGTTCTTCCCTGGAAGTTTTCTGCATAAGATCCATCTATTGGAGATGCTCAGTCTTTCATTTCTGAGAGCAAAATTTAACGGTTCACAAGACCATAAGGTAGCTTTTTATTGTGCAATCATATCCACAGGCTTTTATTGCACAATTCCCTCATCTTATTCCCGAGATCTCCCAAAGAACCCAGACTTTGCTGGTTTTCCTTGTAATTCTCCATATTTTCTACCACACCTTCTGTCTAGTTGCTATCCCCAAAATTGTCTTTAATGAAAAGCAAGAAAGAGAATAGCTCAGGGTGCTGGATTTGCAGGCAACTTAGCAGCATAAGCTTGAATTCAAACACAATATTCTTAGACAGCTGTGCTTAACTAGCCCTTTATTTACTTACTGGCATTGCATAAAATCCTGGACTATCAAAAAGTAATCAAAACGAAATTGGATAGTTTGTAGCTGAAAGAGTCGAGGAAACACCGGTTCGTCTTTGCGCATGTCTAGAGCGCTTCTAACCAGAGCTTTCATGGAAGCAACTGGTTCGTAAAAGTGGAGTTGGCTTAAAACGAACTTTTTAGCCTTTTTCTTTTACAAGAAGGGGGGGCGAAAGGAAGGGTTAAGATATATAAATTCGGCAAATTCACAGAAAGGCTGAGTAAGGAAAAGGCGCGTTCTTTTCTCTCTCTCTCTCTCTCGGAAATGATCTGATACTCACCATCGGGTATTGTCGTAGTAATGCTCTAGCACCGAGTATCCGAAGAAAGAGTTATTGGGTCCTTGATAAATCACGGGATGATCCAAATCGATGTTATAGGAATAAACCAAGGCCACGGAGAGCGTCGCGACTAGGACTTTAAATCCACCCCGCTTGCCCTCCCAGGGAAATCCAGCCATTCTCTAGTTTTCAAAGAGCGCCTTCGCACGCCGACTAAGAAAAGCCCTTTCGGGCGCTTGTTGGCTTTGGGGAAGCGGAAAGTTTCCGTGGCCGCCTGCCTGCCGCCCTCCCTTCGGCTTTGAGAAGGCAAGAGTAGGCAGCAGAGAACAAAACGTCGCCGCAGCAGCAGCAGCTTGTAGCATTCAAACAGCTCTTCGTCACAAACAATAAAAAAGGGAGGGGGAGCGATTAAGCCAAAGTCTCCGAGTCCGCGTCGTCTCGAGTAGCAGCGAAAAGCGCAGCTAGCGAGAGTTTAGGCTCTTTCTGAATCCAGAGCGCTACTTCAGGCCAACCCCAACCCAGGTCGCGTGGGGCCACCGTCCTCCTGCTCTGAGACGCAGCCGTCCAACAAAACGCCGTAGCCGTGGCGCCCTCTGGCGCCCGGCCTATGAGGCTGAGTAAGGTAACTCCTCCTGGAGCGTCGGCACTCCGCTTTTCTTAGCCGGTTGCGGATGAAGTTTTACATTCCACACTGCGTGGCTGTACTCGCGCAACCACACGGCGGTGTACAATGGAGCGTATGTAGCGCAATACGTTATACAAAGGCACTCGGTTGTGCAGATGAAGGCAGTTGGGCTTAACAAATCATAACTTAGTTAACTACGGTAGGACTGAATGATGGGAGGAATGTATATTTCCTATTTTTTAGCAGACCATAAAACCACTATTATCCATGGCATTGCCAAATATTCCCTTGCTGCTACAAGAATGAAGCAAAAAATGTCCAATAAAATTATATTTTTGCTGTTGCAATACCTCATGGTCACGTGTTCATGATTTGATACTTTTCCTGCTGGCTTCCCACAAGCAAATTGGAAGCCTGCAGGAAGTTAGTAGTGGGTCTCATGAAATCCTCACTTAACAACCCATGTCCTCAATAACAGTAATAGAGCCTGCCATTGTTATGCAGAAAAATTGTATGATGTTATATTTTACAACCACATTGCTTAATGATGGAAATTCCAGTACCAATTACTGTAGCTAAGCGAGAATTACTCACAAAAGCATAGATAAAGAAGCTGCTGAAATAGATTATTTTGTCTTAAGCTTTTAAACTGTTTGATTTTATAGACTTTGGTTATACACAGTTGGAATGGCCCCAGATAGTAATGAAAAAACAGCACTGGGATTCATAGGCCAGCCAATTTTAAGCAGCAAAATTATTATTTTTTGCCATTGTTTTGTATTTAGTGATTTTTAAAAATATTTTGCATTCTAGACATAAGTTCTCTTAAATCTGTCAGGCTGCTCTAGGGGTTCTTTATTAGTGACTTCTTTGCTTATTATCCTACAACCACTCAAGAATCTTAGAAATCTTTCAATAAAACATATACCTAAACATATACATGGAACATTTGGCAGAGTCCAGAATGTATTGACATCCTTAAAAATAAAATAAGATCCAGCCTTATTTTATGGACTGGTTAATAATAGTAGTAGTATTAATCAGAACAAAAGATTACATATTGTAGGGAAAGCACTCTCTCCTCTCACCTCCCTTTAGCATTTGAAATTTAACTGGAAGTTTATACATACATTTGCAGTTTATATTTTAATAAAGAAGAACAATAAATACATGAAGATAAAGGAGATATTTTAAAATAGAATGTTTTCAGAAGGCCTTTAGATCAGATGAATCCTGTTGAAGGAACTACAGTGTGTGCACAATTATTAGTCACATTGTATTTGTACTTTTCTTATTGAACAACTACAGTGCTCTCGGTCAATCCAAAATGTAAATAAACTCCAACCCCAAACCCGAATATTTAAGAAAATAAAAGTGAGGTTTTGGTTTTCTTAGGAGAATATATGTGCACAATTATTGGGCAACTATTAGTGTGCAAAATTAGTATGCAACTAAATGAAAAACAAAAATTCACCATCTCACTTGTTTATTTGCATCTGTTAAAGTGAGAATAAACAAACAACTCAAAATGTACAAATAAATATTTCTGACATTTCAACAAAAAAAAATAGTGAACAATATAGCCACCCTTCTTTTCAATTACAGCCATAAGCCTTCCATTCATGGAGTTTGTCAGTTTCTTGATCTGTTTGGCGATCAGTATTTTGTGCAGCAGCAACCACAGCCTCCCAGACACTGTTCAGAGAGGTGTACTGTTTTCCTTCAAGAAGGACCCACAAGTTCTCAATAGGGTTTAGGTCAGGTGAGGAAGGGGGCCATGTCATTATTCTTTCATCTTTAAGGTTTTTATTGGTTAGCCACACAGTGGAGTACTGCGATGGAACATTGTCCTGTATAAAAATCATGGTCTTCTTGAAAGATGCACTTTTTCCTTTACCACATTTTGAAAAAAGTGTCTTCTAAAAACTGGCAGTAGGTTTGGAAGTTGATTTTTGAGTCTATCTTCAATCTGAAAGGTCCAACTAGCTCATTTTTAATAATACCAGCCCATGCCAGTACCCCACCCACAGCTTGCTGGTTTCTGAGTCGAAGTGGTGCTCTGTGCCTGTTACTGGTCCATCCATCGGCCCATCCATCTTAACTCATCAAGAGTTACTCTCCTCAGATAAAAGACCAGAAATATAAATTACAGGCTTTCGCAGATGACTTGGTTTTTATTTTGGAGGAGCCACTGGAAACAGCACTAAACTTCTGCAGAAAATAGAGAAATTTGGAGAAGTGGCGGGGCTAAAAATAAACAAAAAAGACTAAAGTACTAACAAAAAACAACAGACAATCAAAAAATCCAACTTGCTAAAAAGACAAATCTTCAAATAGCTAAAAAAGTTAAATATTTAGGTATCCATTTAACATCAAAATATACAACGGTAAAAGAGGACAATTATGAGAGACTACTAAAACAAATAAAAGCGGATTTGGAGAAATGGAAAAATCTTCAACTATCATTGCTAGGAAGGATAGCGACCGTCAAGATCAGCGGTTCTCAACCCGTGGGTCGCGACCCCATTTGGGGTCGAACGACCATTTCACGGGGGTCGCCAAACAACACAGTCTGCCATTTTTTCCACCATTTTTTCCCCTTTTCCTTAGCTGTGCTACTCCCTCTTATTCTATTGGCTTTCAAAAGCCAATAGAAGACTCTCTTGAACAGAGTCTAATTCTATTGGCTTTCAAAAGCCAATAGGAATTGTCCAGGCTGTCTCTGCCCTGCTGAGCCCGCCAAAAGCCCCAGTCTGCAAACAGTGCTGCAAGGTGAACATTCTGCAAAGCTTCCCTCCCTGCTGAGCAATTAAAAAGTAAGTAAAAGAGGGCCGGGGATGGGAGGTGGGAGGCTGGTGGGCGCAGGGAGGGTTGCTGCCATGCGTGGGGCCCGGCGGGTGCTTTACTTGCCTTGCACTGGGCCAGCTGGTGGCCCAGCCGGTGGTCACCCTGCGCCGTCGCTGCCACGGCCACCCAGGAGCACCTGGGCCTGCCTGCCACTGCCCCAAACAGGCAGCGGCCAAATTAAGACTAGCGGGGCAGCGGTGGGCGCAGGGAGGGTTGCTGGCGCACATGGGGCCTGGCGGGTGGCTTACCTCCCTCTGGCTGGGCCAGCTGGTGGCCAAGCTGGTGATCGCCCTGCGCTGTCGCTGCCGCAGCCATCCAAAAACGCCTGGGCCTGCCTGCCGCCACCCCGAATGGATGACAGCCAAGGTAAGACTAACGGGGCAGCGGCGGGCACAGGGACGGTTGCTGACGTGCGTGGGGCCTGACGGGTACCTTACCTGCCTTGGGCTGGGCCAGCTGGTGGCCCAGCCAGTGGTCGCCCTGCGCCGTCACTGCTGCGGCCGCCCGGGAGCGCCTGGGCCTGCCTGCCACCGCCCCGAATGTGCGGCGGCTAAGGTAAGACTAGCGGGGCAGCGGCGGGTGCAGAGAGGGTTGCTGCCCGCGTTGGCCCAGCAGGTGCCTTACCTGCCTTGGGCTGGGCCAGCTGGTGGCCCAACTGGTGGTCGCCCTGCGCTGTCGCTGCCGCAGCCACCCGGGAGCGCCTGGGCCTGCCTGCCACCACCCCTTGTCAGCTATGCCTCGGCCGGTGCAGGGGGCAGCACCACGCATGCTGGCGCTCCCTGGCAGGGAATTACAGGTAGTCCTCGACTTACGACCGGGGTCGCAGCTATAAAAAGGTTGAGAACCACTGGTCAAGATGAACATCTTACCTAAGCTAATTTTTCTATTTCAAATGGTCACTGTTAAATTGAGTCAGAAATTTTTTAATGAATTAAATGCTACTGTGAGATTTATATGGCAAGGAAAAAAAGCAAGAATTAAAATTAAATTATTACAAGATTCCAAAGACAGAGGGGGCTTTGGGCTCCCGGACTGGAGACTGTATTACCAGGCAGCCATTTTGCTTTGGCTTAAAGAATGGATCACACTGAGAAATAAATGCCTTCTTTATCTAGAGATGTAGTGGAAAACCACAATACTTACATCAGAAGACAAGACCACGAAGGGCTGGAGAAAACAGGTTTTTATTTGTGCACAATGGTTCAGAGCATTCGCATGACAAATTCTGAACCCTGAGCTATTCTCAGGGAGTAATTCTTATAGCATTAACCACCCACGCCTTAGCCATAGGGTGGCTCTTATCTACCTTTGACACACTAAAACAGAGAAGTTTATATCTTGAAGCTACATAAGTAAAAAGGAGAAGTTCACACAAACGGTTGTCTTACCACACCTTTCTGCATGGGTGCTATCTTACAACATCTGTGACTTTTAGTTGACACTGACACTTCTTGTAAAATGGTTTCTACATAGCATGAACACATCTCTATAATTATGACACACAGGTTATATGATTTAGGTTACATTGCACAGCCAAACTTAATATCATATATTAACTATTATCAGCAACAAGCATTCCTATTAAGATATATTGAACTTCCTGCCCACCTCATTTCCTCCCCTTGAAACTTCACTAAAATCATGAGATTATTGAGGAGTTTCATACCTTGGAGGATAACATAAGGTAGCATATTCCCCTTCCTCTACAAGGGCCATGATCTGGGCTATGGCTCTTTTCTCGACGAGCATAGAGAGGCTCTTGGAAATGGTGCGAGTAACAATAGATAAAATACAAGGTAGAATTAGACAACCAAGGGCAATGATTCCCACGAGGGCTACGATGGCTTGCTTGGGAAACCAGGATGTAAATACTTGGGTAAAGTCAAAACCCTTCCATTCTTAGTCAGCATTATGGGTAAGTTGCCTCATTTCAGTGGTCAACTGCTTAATAACCTTTCCTGTCTCATCAATCTGCAAACAACAATTGGAAAGGTTGAACTTACCACAAACACCTCCTTCCTTTGCCAAGATGTAATCTAGGACCAACCTATTCTGATATACTGCTCTGCGAATCTTATCAGTAGTATCAGACAATATATTAAGAGCCTTATCCAAACATTGGCCTGCAAGATCCAAGACAGCTTGGAGTCGGATAATCCTGTTTAACATATAGATAAGTGTCCTGTAGCC